GCTAAGCGGATGAGGGTGTCAGTGGAGGGGGACTGGTCGGGCCTGCGGGACAGGAAGAAGCGGAGGGCCTTAAGGCCATCTGCATGGGGAATGCAATATTGGTATACCAGCTGGATGGTAAACATTGTTCAACTTTCTCAAAAGGATAATTTCAACATTGACAACCTGCATTTATAATGCCCCTTTAATGGAATAAATCCTCCCAAAATATTTTAAGGAGAGTTACTCATCAAAATTTGACAATGGAATTGATTGTAAGTGAAGGTAAATAAAACTTAATGGAATGGATGCTGTGGTTTTTGTTCTGTCAATCTAGCAGGTTAGAAATTAGATCAGTTACTAATTTTGTATGCATCCATCTCCTATTATATAATTGTGAAATGTTCGGCCAAATTATTTTAGATTTAACCATCTGTGGCTGCTGCTGCTCAACAAATACAGTGCATACACAGCAGTAGCAATTGGATGTTTATAATTAAATGCTGGTCAGTGACTCAGAAAATTAACGATGATTATTTAAATTTCCTTGATTATTGTAATATGTAAATTGTGGAACAGAAAATTTGTTTTAATTCCCCTAATAATTACTCATGAATGCAAAATTAATTTGTGTAGTATGATTCAAAGATAACATGTTGATGCTTAGTTTGTTAAATCCATAAATATTTCTGCAAAATTAATTTCATTAAACTTGCTTTGTGCATTAACACTAAAGTCTGGAGAAAAATGCTTTCAGTCTTTCCTTAGACGATTTTTACCGGGGGATAATAAGCACAGTGTAGTGGGCCCTGGCATATTTTGACTAAGACAGCAGAAGTATAATTTGGAATTTCCTTTACTGATTGGCATTCATGGTACCTGCTGAAAAGGATGTCTAGGACAGGATAGTGTTCAGTTATGATTAGTTGTGAAACCTCATGGCTTCAGATAAATAGTGGAAAGGAAACCTGGTTAGCAAGTACCACATTCTCTCTATTGTTAAGTACCATTTGAATAAAACATTTCTCTTTGTGAAGGCTTAAAATGTACTCTGGATGTGAATCTGCAATGCCTACTGTCAAGCATGTCTTGTACTAGTATTGACTGAGGTCAATGTAGGTACGCCTAGGCTTATGGAAGGTGGTGAGAGAACCAGAGTTAACCACAGAACTATACATTAGCAAGTCAGGGAGCATCTACTCAATGTCCAATGAAATGTTTTGTTTCATTATGAATGCTGTACTACTCCAAAATTGAGAATAAGAATGCTGTTGGGTGAGCTTAACTGGTGAAAACAACATAAAGTACATTTCTTAACGTAGATGGTGTGTTTTATATTTATTTTACGTAAAACTGATGGCTTTTGAAGAGGCAGCACAGTGGTTATTTCTGCTGCCTCTCAGTGCCAGAGTCCTGGGTTCGATTCCAGCCTTGCGTGACTGTCTGTCTGTGTGGAGTTTTCACATTCTCCCATGTCTGCATGCATTACCTCCGGGTGCTCTGGTTTCCTCCCACAGTCTAAAGATGTACAAGCTAGGTGGATTGACCATGGTAAATTGCCCACAGTGACCAGGGATTTGCAGGCTAGATGGATTTAGTTGTGGGAAATGCAGGGTTACAGGGATTGAGTAGGGGTGTAGGTTTGGGTGGAATGCTCTTCAGGGAGTGGTGTGGACTCGATGGGCCAGATGGCCTGCTTCCACAATGTGGGGATTCTGTGAACAATGGTTGTAATGTTGCAGAACTGTGGCAACTGTTTGGTATACAACAACCAAATAAATCTCACAATACCTGAGTCCACTTCCAGTATCAAAGAGTTTGTTGATGTTTATAATATTGCTGTGGCTTTAAGAGGTGTGTTTTCTGGTTTCTTTGAGAGAGAGTTTGGGGGTCAGGTGATGAGCAGTTTATGAAAAGATCAACAACTTATGAAGGTTTAGTTTTTGTTGGAACAATAGAAGCAGCCTGAATGGGTGTGGTAAAGTTCCCACCCACAGAACCAAGGATTTTATTTTAGCTTTCTGCATTTGCTGTTGGGGTCTTGAAGAAATGAAAGCTATTCTTTCCCCCTCTTGGTTACAGCCTTGAACTAGGGGTTTTCTGTCTGCTGTTGGAGAGCTGCACGTGAAACAATCTGTTTTCTGAGTTTGTCTTTTGCTGAGGATAAATTTATGGGATGTTGCAATACTGGAACGGTTAATTAGTAATAGTTACTTTGGATATTATTCCGTTAAGTTTTTCAGTAGAGTCGTTATTCCAATTCCTTCTTGCTTTTGTATTTTAACTGTAGTATTTGCATATAATTATGTTTTGCTTAACGTCAAGTAGTTTGACCAATTGAATTGCATCTGGAACACAGCACCTCACATTTACCTTTTAAAGAAAGAAAAAGTTGGGGTCTAGGCTACCTTCTTAATATATCTTGAGGGGGTCTGGTCTGATCCATAACATGTTACACCAGTGGGAAGAAAAACTCTGGGGGTCCAGAAGCTTTTTCACTGAGCAAAGGAAAGACATAAATTTTTATACATTTTGTTTTCAGCCCACCTTTGACTATTACAAATCCAATGCATTATTAATTGATTATATTCTCATCCAATCAGGGTGATTGTGACTGCATGTTCAATAATGGACAGCTCCAGGTCTTCCCATGATCTAATGATATTTACTAAACATCCTTATATATTGTGAAAGCCCAAAGATACATCTTATTCAATCATGCTCCAGTACTGCTGACTTCTGCACCTGTTATTCAGTCCCTCCTGCCAGCAGCGGGCGGGGGGGAGAGGGGGGCTTCTCCGTATTGTTTAAGGCTCTCTGTCCATAGGAATTCAGTTAAATTCCTTCATGTTAGTTTGGTTGTATTTAGAACTTCAGTATACTTGTATAGGTTATATAATATGTAGTGACAGTTACCTAAAGAGCCTTAATTATTGTGGGATTAGGCTTTTTCTTCTAATATTTACTAACTAACAAACATTGAATTAGCTGGTAAAAGGAGCCTCTATCAAGGTTTTTCAAGGATGTTCCTTATTAAGACAGTCCGTGTCTAAAGTGGACTCCACAGGAATCTAGTTAAATCCCTTGAAGTCCAATCTATTAAAACTTCTCTTGTATCATACATATGTGTATACCTGTGTGTGATTGCAATTACCTAAAGAACTTTTCCCCTTCTATATTAAATTAGCATGCAAGAAGGGCATCTATCAGTCCTTCCCTTATCAAAACTGTTTTGATGCAAACAATGGCTCCATTTTTGCTTCTTAACACTCTATTGCGTGATTTCTGTGAAACACTTTCTCTGGTTGCTGTGAATACGAAGACCACAATTCTGACTGTGTAAGTTACTGCTTCAGCTAACAATCTTCTTTGGCCCTTTCTATGTCAACTAAAAACCACGGACAGCCATTTTATGTTGACTAAGAACCATGGGCAGCCCCAACTCTTATAAAGGGAAGAGAAGAATAAGAGTGTCAGTAATGAGCGAAATGTTTATGTCTGGGGAGAAATGTAAAGTGGCTGTTTATAAACTTTCAGAAGTCTCCACATTTAAATTTATTCCTCCATGGTTTTTATTTCATTTTTGACCTAACACCACAAATAGCTATAAAATGAATGATTATTTATATGGTTGTACTGGCAATGGGAGGAATCTTGCCAGGGCAATGGGCAAATGCCTTGCTCTTTTATATTAGCCCACATTTTGTGGTCAACAGCAAAGTGATGGTGCTCACCACACAAAAAGTTCCTGGCATGAACTTCACCTATCATTTCAATGATAATTTGATTCTCCTGCCAACTATAGGGATTCCTGGCATCTGGCATTTGTACTATCATCAAGCAAATTAAGCAGCCAATCACATGTAAAAAGTTCTAAAAGCTAGCAAACAGAAGTGAAATGCACTGATTATCCTTCGCGTTTTAATTTCATAGGGAGAGAAATAAAGCTTTGGACATACACACAGGATTAAGGCAGATGTCAAAATAATCAAACTTTTTTAAATGGTGACATCTGTGGATAAGAGAAACAGAGTTAACAGTTCAAAAATGTTGTCAACTTGGACCCTGTGTCCCAATCCTATTTCGATTTCAGGTTTGTAGGATCTGCAACAATTAAGTCTTTTTTTAAATTCTATTGCATTAAGAGGAAAGAGAATTTTTATCAAAATTGCAAAAATAGGGCAAAATGCATCATTTAAAAAAAAACTTTGCAACAAAATGCAACATTTTCCCAGCGCTTTTGCCCTGAAATCAGAGCAAAATACTAAAAAGTGGAAGTGCATGTCAGTTCAAGTGATTTTAGTGTCTTCCATCTGTAGTGACTTTGACAGCACACCATGTAGATGAGCATTGGATCTCTGACAACGACCGGGGATTTTACAATTAATTGCACATTGGTGAACACTTGGCAGGTTCACAGTTTTAATGATGGTGAATGCTGGTGCTTTCAGCAAAATCTGGACCTTAAACTTCGTCATTCCTAAAGGAAGGCAACTGTAACAATGCAGCATTCCTTCAACATTGCAGGGGATTGGCTGTCTGCATTATGAATCAAACCCTTTGCTTTGGGTTTAAATTCACAAGCTATCAACCTACATGTGACAGTGTTAAGAAGTGAGGCTAGCGAGTGAGGAGAAGTATATAACTTAAAATTGCATTTCCATGTGGATGACTTTCCTAGATTTCTATGGCACCACAGACTGATGCAAAGTCATAGCCTTGAAATCTTCCACTCATTGACCTTAGTGTAATAGAGTCAAGGATTTTGACCATTCCCAAAAACAGGAGTTTGAATAAAAACGGTTGTGTTTGTTTTCTTAATCCCCGCCCCCACCCCCACCCCCCACAGGAAATGAGTTTACTTATGAATTCTGAAGAGTGAGTAATTACTGTATTATCTCCAGGGCTTGAATGGTTGGATAGCATTGTACATGCAAAGGAAATCTCCTAATGTTTGGGAAGATTAAACATTTGTGCAACAGCTTTTAACATTTATAATGTTTATGAAATTATTTTCCTAGATGCCTTCAGCAGTTAAAGGAAGATGGCTTCACAATACAAGACGTGTTTAAGAATTGTGTGTTCCAGAAAGATGAAAGGGAGATGGTATTGAAAGCCATTTGTGCTGTAGATCCTGAATTCCAGCTCCAACCTGAACCCGAAGTGGAGATTTGCCAATCGCCTTTAGTGAAGCGCTTTTATTCAAAGGTACGATGGGCAGAATTGCATTTTATGTACAGTGCTTCATGGAAAATAATTTATGCCAAATCAAAAGACACACCCTGTCTTTTGAATAGATCTGTTATTTAATGACCATTTGAATGCTTTATTCATATTTACTGATGAACAGAGAGCAAATTGAGGCTAGCAATTGGTGGCTCCTCTACTCTAAAATCTGAAATCTATATTGTAAACTAAATCTTCTGCTAATTTTTTTTCTGTTCAGATGTGGGGTGCCAGTCACCTCATTAGCAATGTTTTATAGACAGTGAAGCTTCCAAGCCAGGAAAATTTGCATAGAAGTCTTCAAATTATTAGAAATGAGAAAGTTTAAAGCCCTCAGAATTGTGAAATATCCATTCTAGTAGACTCAAAAAAATTCGAAAAATTGTCTCTGCAGTCCATGGAAAAGAAACTTGACTTTGTCAGTCAATTAGAAACTTGGAGTTGAGATGGAGAATAATTTCTTTGGATTTGAGTCTCTGTAATGGACAATGTTAAGAAACAAGATATAACTTTGCTGTTTGGGATCTTCCTGAACACTTTTTTCCATATCCTGATCACTTGATTTGTTTTATTTATTTTGTGCATAAACTTTTGTTCTGTTGTAAAGGAACATTTGCAGCCTTGTGTGAATATGTTTGTGGCTAATCACCACATGGACTACCTAAAATAAGAATTAAACATACAATCTAGCAAGTCAAGTTTCATTCTGAGATCTGACTTTTGACATACACAGTATAGAACTGACATTTTTGTAAGTTGCATTAGTTGGTACAATTATTTTGTAAATTATTTGCCCTAAAGTTGTTGCAGGATGTGAACTATATCTACAGTTTATAATTATAAAGATAGATAGTACTGGTCACATTAAGAAATAGCATCAATGCCAAAATATAAGATAGCGGATTAACTTTTAAAATTTAGAGTCCACAATACTGAACAGTAGTGATGGCAATGTTTCGACACTGAGGTTGGTTTGACAAATTTATTCCTGCATGATATTCCAGTTGGAAATAACCATCAAATCAGCAATCCAGAGGAATACTACTCTTTTGTCATTGTTGGACAGAATGTTGTTGCTTTTTGACTAGAGTGCCCTCATTTCTGTGGATGAGATCGTAGGCCGAAGCAGCCGTGGAACTGGCTTGTGGTGGCAGGCTCTAGAAACTCAGTGGAAAAAGTTGGAGATTGTCAATTAGTTGTAGAAGAGAAGGGGACAAGACTCTTCTTTTGAAGAACTTGGGTAACTATGGAAGGCTTGTAAAAGGACAAAGTATTCAATTGAGCAATATATTGGTAAGCATTAGACCAACAAATTCTGTATTCAAGGCCAGGAGTTTTGGATGTGGACAAAGTCTGGTGAGACTATTTATTTCCCAACCACAGATGACTTGACAATACTGAGAGTCACTCACCTAGTACGGAGCCACATATAGCTCAGGTTCTATTCCTCGAGTGCATTACAGAACTAGTTGGGTTTTTACAATTCTGCTACTTTGAGTAAGTTTCTGTTCTACCCCACAAATTGTCAGGTTATTTGAATTCAGTTTAGCAATTTAGCATGGAGGGATTTGAACTTACTACCTCCTGAGTAAGCAATATAATAATCACTAGGCTATCATATTCCAACAAATTAATAGTAGTTATGTGAATGAAGCATCTTATTTTATTTCAGGCTGAGCCTATCAAATATCCCAAATTGCATCTGTGTGTGGAAGAACTGAAGGAGAGATTTGATCGACAACTAAGCGGGGAGCAAGCAGATACCATTTCTATTAATTCTGTTGAAGCAACAAAACCCATTACAGAGAAGATGAAAAAAGTGGTACTTGTCTTCTACTAAGTTTGCACATGGTATAAAGCAGTAAAACTGAAGCCATTTTGTGTATGTTTTTAACTCTGATCATGGCCTCATCTGGTAAAATTGAAGGCAAAATATCCTAAGTGCCTTTACTATTTGTTATTAATGATTATCATAAACATTTTAGTCTGTCAGGTACTGTTAGCTGCCTTTGACAAAGATGCTATACCTGGTTTTCCAGTCCTGATTTCTGTTTGGTACTTGTGTTTAGGATAGCATGGAATCACAAAATATTAAATGAAGAAATGTCAGAGATAGTAACAACTGCTGATGTTGGAGTCAGAGATAACACAGTATGGAGCTGGAGGAACACAGCAGGCCAGGCAGGATCAGAGGAGCAGGAAAGCTGACGTTTTCTGAAGAAGGGTCCCGACCTGAAACGTCAGCTTTCCTGCTCTGCTGCCTGACCTGCTGTGTTCCTCCAGCTCCACACTGTTGTAAATGAAGAAATGTGTTGTCTCCAGTATCCATGAATGTTTCCCATATATTAAAAATGTCGTATTTGTTATGTATAATAAATTTGTACATTCTATTGTAGAGTGACTTCTAATTAATACTTTTAGATAATTATTTTGTTTATTCTAATTAATAGTTTTTAGCCTTATGTAATCTTTTTAATTGTATTTTATAGGCTTTTAAATAGTATTCTGTCTATTTTATGACACGGGAAAGAATAGTGAAATTTTCCTAAGGGCTTTAAATCTGTGTGGTATCTAGTACAAATGCATCAGAAGGATACTTTTTTTTTAAAATAATGCGACATGCATTCAACCATTATTTATTATGTTTGATTATCACTAACAGAATGTGTGTTGTTTCGATTCAGCGCAACCGTCTGGCAGATTTACGTGCCAAGTGGAAAAAATCTCTACTGCAGGCATTTCGTGAGTGCAAGTTTCACTTGGCTGGTGATCGAAGTTGTTCCTGGAAAATGAATCTCTATCCTTATCTCTGCCTGCTGGATGATAAGGAATATGTAGATATTATGGTACAGGTATGGATGACTGAAGTGTGATCAGTTTCATAAACTGTTGATGCATTGAATTCATTTTAGTGTTTCGAAGGAGTTAAAGGCCAATTAATGGCTTTGGCATATATATGTCCCAAGTCAGAATTTAGTCCAAAAACTGGATAATGAGTGTTTCCTGGCTTGTTTTTCCTAATCCTTTGTTTTTACAAAACTAGAGGTTAGTTTGAAATACATTAACTGCAATTAAAAGTAAGCTTTCGTATAGATCTAGCAGTGCAGCCAAAGACTCACATTGACTGTTTAAATTGAGCAAACATCTCAGCAAATAATCCAGGCATTTAAAGCTCTTGCGTGAATTGATTTGAGATCCAGAGTAACTGACCAAACTGTTTTATTAAATAACAAAACAGGAGATTTGTAATGGGTTGATAGGAAGGGTACAAGTGTTGGAAGAAAGATGAAACGATGTACCACCACTGGAAGGTAAGTCTACATTTGTCAATAATGTCACCACAAGGGAGCAAGGAGTTGGAGGAGACTTTGGGTAATTTGTGTTGTTTTGAAGGTGATCACACAGAAGCAGAAGGTGTTATTAAGGATGGGTTTTTTAAAAAAAAAAGTCTATCAAGAGAAGATGGTATCCTGGAGATGGTGTATATAGGAAGATATATTTGTCATCCTTGTTGGATTACTGAGATCTCAAGGTGCACTCGAAGAAAATGAGATTCAGCTTCTTGCAGAATGTTATTAGTTACTTGAATAGTTCAGAAACCGTTTCAAAATTTTGGGTTTGTAACACAAAAGCCCAGGCTTGACAAAGTGTTTGATGGAATCCAAACTGAATTTCTAATATGAGCTTTTTCTCAGCATTGTCCTTTATATCCTGTATTCAACAAATTCTTCAGCAAAAATTTTCAAATGTACCAAGCTAGTTTGAAAAACAATATAATTACATTTGAAAAAAATTCATAGAAGGCTTACCTGACTCATTCCTGGGATGAAGGCTTATCTTAAGAAAAGGTGAATAGGTTGGAGCTATGCCCATTGGAGTTCAGAAGAATGAGAGAGTTATAGAATGGATATTGGGAGGATGTTCCTTCTTGAAGTGGAGACTTGAACTAAGGGACATAGAAGGGACATCTCTTATTCCTAAACTGAGAGCTGAAAATAAGTTATTTTTCTCCAAGGGTGTTGATTTTCAGTTCCCAGAAAACAGTGGAGGCTGAGTTATGTAGACTTTTGATAGACCAAGAAGTCAAAGGTTATGGGGTTGACAGCAATGTGGAATTAAGACCACAACCAGATCAGTCATCGTCTCATCAAATGATGGAGCAAGCGCAAAGGGACAAATGGCTGACTCTCACTCTTAAGACCTGTGTTCCCACAAGCCATTTCCTTTTTTCCCCAATGTGCAACCTTGAGAATAATTGTGATCTATATGATAACGTTACAAATGTTTCTCCGTTTGTCTAGCAGCAAAAATGGTGTGTAAACAATCATTTTAAACTTGGCTTTAAACTTTTCCCTCAATGTGCCTAAAAAGGGCTAGACTGCTCTCAGAAGGTGGTTTTCACTTTCCAGTTAATGAGCCATTTTCTGATACAACTTTGTGGCCATCACATCCTGATGTGGAACTTGAGTCTAGACCTTCTGGCCCAGGCATAGGGATGCTGCCATTGTGCCACAAGGTCTTTCCTTTTTGATAAACTTGTGAATTCAACACACTGATACTGAGTTTGACAGCTTCCTCATCAGTGCACATCCAAAACTGCTTCATATTGAAGCAAAAGAGCTGTTTGTCATATTCTAATCCTTGTTTTCCTCCCCATAAATTATGAATGTTCTTATGTTCTGGAAATGTATCAGATGGTCCCTTAAGCTAACCTCACACTAACAGACATGGCTAAAATATGATGGAACCGTGATGGGATGGGTGATGAGGGATCAACCAAGAGTTATAGATTTTTCTATTGTTCTGGAATATCATGAATAACATATTTGCAATATTATGAATGAATGCAATAAAAATAGTATTGTTTAAGATAGCCATTTTGAACTTTAAGCAAAATACAGCAGATGCTGATGTAAATCAGCCGTCAAAACAGGAAATACTGGGTTCCGATGACCTGAAATAGTAACTCTTCCTTTATGTGCAGGTGCTGCCAAACCTGCACACCTGCAGAGTACTTGCACCGTTTTCTGTCTGTTTTTGAACTTTGATCAAGAATTATCTTCTTATAGGTTAATGTGCAGTATGTATAATATTAAAACTGATTTAATATCTTCCATTCTACTTACCAGTGTATTGCAAATATCCCGCCGAATGGTGAAGCATTACTGACAATTGCTAGGGAATTGGGTAACAGAGTCTACAACAAGTATTCCATACGAAAGAAGATCAAAAATGAAATGGTAGATAAGATTAAAGAAATTTACTATGCCTACATTGAACTGTTGGCAAAGGATACAGAGGTAATGCCAATTTGATATTTTGTTTAAATGAGAACAAATAAAAATGTTACTTTTCTAATTTTGTAAACAGCACTCTAGTTGGGACCAAGCTGGTTTATTTATGATTATACACCAGTAACCTTCATCCATACAAATTTTGCATTGGCTCTCAGATCCAAATGCAAAAAATGTTTTGAAATACTGTCTGGATATTTTCCACAATTTAAGAAGTTGAAAGCACAGTTGAAAAATGTCACCCCTGAGTTTATAACAAATTACATTCAGATTTTGTCCAGCACTTCTGCTCGTAGATTTCTCAATAAGCCTAATAAAGAATAGATTTAATATTTGCATCAATATGGTCTATCATGGTTTAGATTTCTTGTTATCATCTTTTTGTAACATTGAAGCACTTGCATATAGTAACAAGCAGAATATTTTAAAAATTTTGAAAAGCTAAGATGTAACAAGTGTTAAGAGACAGGACTAACAAACAGACCCATAACAGCAATGCCAAAATGGGGTATAAAAATTCAAATGAAAACAGTATTAGTGTTATTTGCATGAGTAAACCTAAAGTGTAAAGTATTCCTATTATATTGCAAAGATTTGGGAACCTAAGAGAAAATGCATGACTAATAAGTTGGTTGATAAATGTGAAACAAATGGTCAAGGCTAATGAAAGTTCTTTGAATTAGGGAAGGCTTGGGCTGCACTTGGGTGCCAGTGGTTAAGTCCATTTTTTCCCTTGAGATATTTCTACAATATCAACTCTGGATCAAATAGACCTTTTCTTTGCTGATGATGAAAGTAGTGATTTGGAAAAGAGTAAGGCAAACTGTAAAAGACTTTTCAAGGACACAGGTTGGTGGCAAACACAATTTAGTGCAGATGTATATGAAATAATTTTTCTTTGAGGGGGAAAACAAAAAGAATAGGGAATATAATATCAAATCAAGATGCTAAAGTACAGTGGAGGAACAAAGAGCAGCATACAAATACGTAATGTCTTGAAATTGCAAGAATATATAGACAGTTGTTCATGGTAAAGGCATCAGAGGGCACACTCATCATTCTTCTGATCTGATCTTGATTTAATATGAATTCACAACAAAGGTTGAACACTTAGAAAAAACATTTATCACAAGCCTCTGATTTATTCATATGTGGTAATAGCATTTAATTTTAAACTGTGTTTCGATTCTAGTTGAACAACTTCCTGCCTCGCGAGTACACGATGAAACTAGAAAAAGAGATGAATTTAGGTCTTTCGCTTTTAAGTGAAGATTCTCCCTGGCCACATTTTCTGATTGTACATTTGGGAACTCATCTAGTGGATATAATGGTTCGTGAAATTAAAATCCCCGTAAACACCCAAAGCCCGAGTCACGAGAAGAAACTTATCCCAGTCTTGTATCACATGTACAGCTTTCGTAGTAACAAGCAGGTGAGACATAAGGTCATGATCTTTCTTTTTATGTTTGGGTAAATTTTGTATTGTTATTTTCAACAGCGTGCATTAACTTGTACTTACCCAGGCAGGTGCTGGCTACAACCAAATTCTCTTGCATTTGTATTTTTTCATGAAGTGGGTGTGTGGATGCTTATGGGAAAGGAAGAAAGGCTTGTAGTTATATATACGTGATAACAGGATTTCCCAAAGTAATTTATAGCTAATTAAGTATTTTTGAAATTGTAGTATAGGAAATGTCAGAAATATAGTGGCAAATTTGCATACAATAAGTCTTTACAGAATGCAATACGATAAATTGTTTTTCTCAGTGATTTAACTGAGCGAGAAATATTTACTACTTTGCCAGAGATTAATTTGTTCCTCTTCTTTGAAATAGTGTTGCGGGCTCTCACAGATGCACCTGGAAGTGTAGATGGTTTTGATTTAATGTCCAATTTGAAAGAAGCACCTTTGGCAGTGCAAATATTACAGTGGAGTGTCAGCATAAATTTTTGCTCAAGTCTGTGGAGCCTCTCTTAAACCCACAACCTCCTAGATATGTGAATGTGCCATCACCTGAACCATAGGTGATAGAACATAGAACATGGAACGTAACAGCGCAGTACAGGCCCTTCAGCCCTCAATGTTGCGCCAACCTGTGAAATCAATCTGAAGCCCATCTAACCTAAACTATTCCATTATCATCCATATGTTTATCCAATGACCATTTAAATGCCCTTAAAGTTGGTGAGTCTACTACTTTTGCAGGCAGGGCATTCCACGCCCTTACTACTCTGAGTAAAGAACCTGCCTCTGACATCTGTCCTATTTATGTCACCCCTCAATTTAAAGCTATGTCCCCTCGTGCTAGCCACCACCATCCGAGGAAAAAGGCTCCCATTGTCCACCCTATTTAATCCTCTGATCATCTTGTATGTCTCTATCAAGTCACCTCTTAACCTTCTTCTCTCTAACAAAAACAGCCTCAAGTCCCTCAGCCTTTCCTCATAAGACCTTCCCTCCATACCAGGCAACATCCTGGTAAATCTCCTCTGCACCCTTTCCAATGCTTCCACATCCTTCTTATAATGCGGTGACCAGAACTGTACGCAATACTCCAAGTGCGGCCGCACCAGAGTTTTGTGCAGCTGCAACATGACCTCATGGCTCCGAAACTCAATCCCTCTACCAATAAAACCTAACACACCGTACGCCTTCTTAACAACCCTATCAACCTGGGTGGCAACTTTAAGGGATCTATGCACATGGACACCGAGATCTCCCTGCTCATCCACACTACCAAGAATCTTACCATTAGCCCAGTACTCTGTATTCCTGTTACTCCTTCCAAAGTGAATCACCTCACACTTTTCCGCATTGAACTCCATTTGCCACCTCTCAGCCCGGCTCTGCAGCTTATCTATGTCCCTCTGTAACCTGCAACATCCTTCCGTACTATCCACAACTCCACTGACTTTGGTGTCATCCGCAAATTTACTAACCCATCCTTCTACGCCCTCATCAAGGTCATTTATAAAAATGACAAACAGCAGTGGCCCCAAAACAGATCCTTGAGGTACACCACTAGTAACTGAGAACTACTGAAACATACATTAACAGAGCTAAGCAGCTATAGCTAAGTAAAGAGATAACAAGATGTAGAGCTGGATGAACACAGCAGGCCAAACAGCATCAGAGGAGCAGGAAAGCTGATGTTTTGGGTCTGGACCCTTCTTTAGAAATGGGGGAGGGGAAGGGGATTCTGAAATATAGAGGAAGAGGGGGGAGGCGGATGGAAGATGGATAAAGGAGCAGATAGGTGAAGAGGAGACGGACAGGTCAAGGAGGCGGAATGGAGCCAGTAAAGGTGAGTGTAGGTGGGGAATTAGGATGGGGGTTGGTCACTCAAGGGAAGACGGACTGGTCAAGGAGGCAGGGATGAGGCTGGTAGGTAGGAGGTGGGAGGAGCGGATAGGTGGGAGAAAAGACAGACAGGTCAGGGAGGCGGGGACGAGTTGGGCTGATTTTGAGATGAGGTCGGGGGCCGGGAGATTTTGAAGCTTGTGAAGTCCACATTGATACCATTGGGTTGCAGGGTTATCTAAGTAGTGATTTTCATTCAAGTGTATTGATTGTTCGGATGTCAATTAGGCAATCGTTCATCTCCACAGTCGGACAGAACTAAAAAAAAAGCTATGGAAGAATCTATTTATGCAGTCATTCTGTATGTCAAATTTTATCTGTTTTTGGGCCTGAGTAATCTAGCAGGTAAATGGAAAAAAGCATTTCACGTAATGGTGTTAGCTGTTATTCTTTTTGTAAGAAGTGCTGTTCTGCTCATTAAGATGCGTAAGAGAAATTTTAATGATACCAATATGGTTAGAAGCTGACAAATACAAAGTTTTGGAAGACTATTGAGGCTATAATGTTATATGTTTAAAAGGTTTTTGAATGACAGGAATTGACATTGGGTTGATTTTGCTCCAATTTACTAATTTGTGTTTTGCTGCATATAAAGGCTCCTAATTATAGATTTATGACCTGTGTTTTGTTCCATTTACACTTTATTGGAGGGCAATAAGTCTTGCAACCTAAAAGAACTTGCATTGGTACTTTCATATTTCTTCAGATTTTTTGTTCATTTAAATGGACATTAACAAATAACGTCCTGCATGCAGTCTGGTAAAATCAAAGTGAACTACTGCAATCTCTCAGAATTGTTACAGTGCAGAAGGAGGCCATTTGGCTCATTGTGTCTAAAGTGGCAATCAATGTATTTTAACTTTGTATCAAACGTTTGCTTTTCCCCATGTTTCTCTTTAAATATAAAGCTCAATTGAATGTTCCCCTACCTCACTTCCAGGCAGTGCATTCCATACCCTAACAACTTGTGGTGGAGTAGTTTTTTTCTCACTTGCATTTGCTTCTTCAGGAAAGAATTTACAAACCTCTGGCCCTTGATCAGTTTTCTAGTGGAAATGGTTTTTCCCTATCTACTGTACCCAGACCCCTCGTGATTTTGAAAACTTCTATCAAATATCATCTTAGATGTATGCTGTCCAAGGAAATGTTGTTATCTTTTTCCAATATTGTAATGCTCTCCATAACTAAAACTGCCATCCCTCTTTTGTTTTCCTTTTCAACCTTAATTGGATGACTAGTGACCAGTAATAGTAAACATCCAGATTAGCCCTTGCTTAAGACATATCACTATCACAAAAGTCAAGTAAGAAGACTTAAAAGAATGAAACAAAGTTTGATCATTAATAAATTGCCCATTTTTTAACTTCATTTGTGATTGAGTTATTGACTTATACAGAACAGAATTAATACAACAATATCAGTCTGCTAAGATGGTTAAAGCATTTAAGTATACTACATATTGTAATGGCTGATGAAGAGTTGCATTTTTCCTGCAAAATGAAGGAGTAAAACAAGAAAGAGAGGTTTCTAGAAACGTGCACCTCCATTCAGCATCTGAAAGTAAAAGACATGGTATTTGGTCATTCATCAGATTTCTGTTTAGTCTTTCATCAGCTTTACTTTCAAAACTGCAGAATCCCACTTGGTATTAGTCCATTGTTACAATTTATTCTTCTATGTTAATTGCATATTAATTGTGTTTAATTGTATGCAGGCGGTGGGCCTTAACAAGAGATTCATTTGAACTCGTGTAAATAGGCACAGATGAAAAATTAGTTGTTGGGTTAGGATGTCTAAACATGAAATGCATAACTGTAAATAAAGAAAAGTGTGCAAAGATTGGCTTTAGTTCCATTTTTCGTCAACTGGACTTGTGGAGTAAGTCCGCTATACTTTTTATTTCACGCGATCATACCTAAAACGAGTTAGAATTATTTTGTCAAAAATTACTTAAATATTCATCATATGTGTGTTTTTGTCACAGCACCAACATTTCTGTCCCATCCATAGTTGCTCTTGCAGGGTGATTACTTACTTGAAGTGTTGAAATCTACGTGACAAAGGTGTGCCCCTGCACTATTAAGTTGAGAATTCTAGGATTTTGTCATCATTGAAGGAATAGTGATTTATAGTTGACATGAAGATGCCTGGCCTACATTTGTATCTTTTTGGCCTTTCATTGATTGGAAGTGGCAATCCATGGGTGAAACCTCTTGCTATCTTGTATCTATTACAACGAAAGCAAACGTAATGTCCTGTCCAGTGCAACTAGTTCTGAATGATTAGTGCCTGATTGCTGGGCAGCTTAGACTTGAGATGATGCTGCTGTTGGACTGTTTTTATTGCCATCAAATTTGAAGGATCTTTTAAAGGTATTGCTGGTAATACTTCTCTGTGGTTTAAGGTGCCTGCTGTAGCTTGTCCAAGTCTCTGAAGTATGTAGGGGCGTGAGTTACCTGAAACCAGAATCCCAAAGCAACTGTTCTACCTGAAATTTGTTCATAGTAGTATACTCCAAGTAGCATAGTGGAAATGTGTTAATGTCCTTGTAGAATCCCTGAAAAGGTCAGATATACTAATCACCTCATAGTTTGGCTTGTGACCAACCAAAATGGTGACGGCTTCTGCAGGAAGGCACCAAACACATCAAGAAGCTTTTTGTTGGGCATTTGCAGAGTTGAAGTTAAGGTATTGGAGGGAAGGAGTAAACTTCAAGACAACTCATTTATCCAAACCTTTCAAATACAACCCATCCTACTTGGCAGAATCTGCAGATCACAATTAAACCTGAGTGAAAGCAAGTTGCCCTCAGTGCCAAAGAACTATCTAAGAAGATGACAGTGGAATATTTTACATTATTCTACAACTATGTTTTGTATGCAGTTCCTTCCTTTCCTGTTATCTACTTTGTGCCTCTGTTGAAACTCTTCTGGTCATCCCTTGTTGACCATAGTTCTTTAGGATCTTAGAGATAGATAGTGTTCTTGTTCTTGGCAATTTATATTGCACTAGATGAAAATCTATTTGCAGATTAGGAATGTTTTAAGTGTCAGCATGTTTATTAAACAACTTTAACTTCTCGAACAGGGTCTTCCCTTAGCAGAACCTGAGCCAATATTCATTTGAAGGTTATCTTTGATTAGTTGAGCATGTAACGTGACGTGAATGTTGTGGGTTGCTGAATAGTTATTCTCAATACCATCTGCATAATTTGTTCATAATCCAGAATATTTAGGGTTTCTTTTACTGAATTTAAAACTCTGTTTGGTTGGTTTCATGGTGAATGTCAAGTAGAAGACATGAATTTGTGCTACTCGGAATGATAATCAGATAAAATTAAAATCTGAATCTTAATGTTGATAATGCAGGATCCTTATCTGCCTCCTCCATTTCAGCCATCAACATTTATCACCTGTTGATGTGATGATGTCCTTCAGTGTTCAATTGGGTGCTCAGACAAAATGCATAATAGGTGAACTATTTCAGGGTGTGAGTTTGGAGTGGGAGAAACAAACTGACTGTATCCACATCTTTACAAAAGGCACTTTGCTATCATACTGCAATAAAATGCTAGTGTATCCACACGGCAATGGAAGTAAAAGAGGAATCTTCAAGATGTATAAAATTAATTGGTTCAGGAGAGGGAAAATTGCATGGAAATCAAATAGGTATAATTTTCAATATGTTTGAAAAATATACATCAGATGTAGAGTTTTTTTTAAAAGGAATATGCATGGTAGAAATCTGAAATAAAATCAAAGTGTTGGGAAGTACTCTCAAACTCATCAAATTGGCGGGGGTGGGTGCAGCAAGCTGGTTTATTGTTTTCAGTATAAACTATTTGTTATAATTTTTTTTGCAGATTGGATTCATCAAGCCACATCCTATTCTAACTGAGCTCCTTTCAGAAGCTGCTGAGACAACTTTAATCTTTGACTCCTGTGTCATGCCAATGGTCTGTGCTCCTGTCCCGTGGACTTCGCCTCGGTTTGGAGCCTATGTTCTGGCACCCACCAAATTAATGCGTTGCGTGGAAGGGGCTCTACAACATCAGTTACTCTTGGAGAAATGCAAGAGTAGTGACTTGCATCCAGTGCTGGATTCTTTAAATCAACTTGGTAACTGTGCTTGGAAGGTTAACAAACCAATGCTTGATTTAATTATTTCTATTTTTAATGATAAAGGAAGCGAGAAGCTGGAGATTCCACCTCCACTTTCAGAAGCACCACACATGCCCAAGCATGACCCAAAAGCTGACATTAGTCCAGCAGCCAAGTCTGTATTGAAAAAGAAGATAGCTTGGGTCAGGAAAAGGGCAGCTGAAATGCACAGTCTTCGAATGGATGCCCTTTACAAGCTTTCCATTGCCAACCATGTCAGAGATGACATATTCTGGTTTCCTCACAACATGGATTTTCGAGGAAGGACATACCCCTGCCCACCATATTTTAACCACCTGGGCAGTGATGTCACTCGAGCAGTATTATTATTTGCAGAAGGAAAGCCCTTGGGAGAACGTGGATTAAATTGGTTGAAAGTTCATCTCGTTAACTTAACTGGCTTTAAGAAAAAGTGTTCCCTGAAAGAGAGAATTGATTATGCTGACAAAGTAATGGACAACATCTTGGATTCAGCAGATAATCCTTTAACAGTAAGTGAATGTTATTTCAAACATGCCAGTCTATCAAATAAATGTTATTATCTACACTTGCAAGTTTTTGCACCAAAAACAGAAATTGCTGATGAAACTGAACAAGTCTGGCAGTATTTATGGAAAGAAAGCAGAGTCGACGTGTCAGGTACAATGACCTATCAGAAGTTCTAATAAAAGGTCACTGGATCCAAAACGTTGACTCTGATTTCCGTCCACAAATGCTGCCATACCTGCTGAGTTTGCCCAGCAATTTCTGTTTTTGTTTCAGATTTCCTGTATCTGCAGTTTTTTAACAATTCTTGTTTTTGCATCCTGTTCGAAAATTGCAACTAAAATTGACAGTGAAATGTGCATCTTGGTATTCTATGGATATAAAGCAATGTAGTAGTTAAAAGGGATTGCTATTTTTATATCAGCTGTATTCCAATATAGGTTTTATGGAATCCTTAGATTTGCTGTTACTTTTATTCACCATTGCTTGAGAAAATGATTCATGATGATCAAACTTTTGCTAACATGACTGAATTAATAATCCCAGGGTCAGCCAAAAGGGTGTAGAATAAATGGACAGTGCCCATATTCAATTTTGGCGTTGTAAGATATTCAAATAGCAGCCATGAAACCTTGCCCACCAGGAGACATAAGGAATTTGAAAGATCATAAAATCAAGCATGTAGATGAAATAATGAAGAAAGTAAAGCTGGAATAAAACTAATTCATTAAGTACAAATTAAAAGTAGGCACGTCGACTTATTCTGTGAAATAATGTTCTTGTTCGAAAGATTGCTGTCCGATATGTACTTTCCAATGAAGTTCTACGACTGCGAGTTAAAAATGGTCTTACATTTTATTAAAAACTGTTAAGTGATCCGAAGCATTCAGTTAGAATTGTGTGGAAAGCTTAAATTATGTAAACCCTCATTGATGCAGGTTGCATTGGCATATAAGCCACTCGGTTATATTTCTATCATTTCAAAACTTTTATTTCATAAATACTATGCTAAAATGCTTGCGACTTAAAATGAAAAGTAAAATCCATGTTTCAGTATAACACAGTTTGTTGTAGAAATTGGTTTTGTCTTGAATGTTTGAAAGCATCCAAGTGCCAAAAGATCAAGAAACGAGAGTAAGTGCAGATAGTTTGCCCTTGATTAGTGATGTTTACGTAAAATAATGTGTCTGTGTGTCTAAGATGCTTTTGCTCTTCCCAGGGGAGGAAGTGGTGGATGAATGCAGACGAGCCTTGGCAGACATTGGCCTGCTGCAAAGAGATAGCACATGCTATTAGATCACCTGATCCAACTAAGTACATTTCTTATTTCCCAGTCCATCAGGTATGTTCTGAAATACTTAGGAAACATAGACTTTTTTTTTCTATCCCATTATACAGCAGACAAAAATTAATTTAAGCAACAGGGTGACCTGCTTTAAACGATTATAACAACAAATTTCATTTATATAGCATTTTTGCTGTAATAAAATTTCCCACGGAACTCAATAGGAGTGTTATGGAACAAAATTTGACACCAAACCATACAAACAGGTGTTAGGCAAGATGATCAAAAGCTGGATTAGAGAGTTATGTTTTAATGGGTGTTTTAAAGAAGGAAAGACCAAAGAATTTGATAGATGCAAAGAAGGGAGCTTCGGAACTAAAATCTTTGGCAATCACCAACAGAAGAGTAATTCAAGTCAGAAATGCTGAAGGTACCAGAATTAGTGAAACAGATCTGAAAGGTGTAGTAGGGCTGAAGGAGATTACGGTGTTGAAGACATAAAAAAGAACTGATGGCCTTCTAACTGCTTTAATATTTGCAACAGGAAAAATTTTTAGGAAGCACTTGCATTTAATTGAAGATCAGTGCTCTAGCAGCATTTGTCAGTACATGTGCTGATTTCCTTTCAGCTTCCTAAATTGATACTGTAGGTGGTGGCATATATAAGTCGACTGCGAGTATAAGGAAACACCATTTTCTGAGCCCAAAAAGTTATATTGTTTTCATTAAATTGGCTGTCCCCACCTTGCAGCTATTCAAACACTAATAATCGACCTCGATTCTTCATTGCACTGACGTTTAACTCATTGTTACCTTTTATGATTGATTGTTTGTAAAGGATCAAGCAAATGTTGTAAAAACACATGGGAGATTAAGAATAGAATTGAATAGAATTCCTACAGTGTGGAAACAGGCCATTTGGCCCAACAAGTCCACACCGACTGTGCGAAGAGCATCCCACCCAGACTCCCCGTCACCACCCTCCCCCAATTCCGGTGCCCCACACCCCAGGATTCAGTCAAATTCTTTTCAATTTACAATACTTTGGGCAGCTGCCACTCTGGCTGAGTTTTTGCACATGCTCGCTTAACACAGTATTTTTCTTTTCGGTTGATGTGTTGTTCTCTAAGCAACCTCGGGTGCATTGTTTAGTATCATCAACCATGTAAAAATATTATTAATGAGTCTCTCAATACTGAAGTAAGAAAACATTATTCTGATCAATAGACTTAATGGAGAAAACTGAGAAGTACCTTTCTTGTAAAGGGAAGCATGGTTTTCTGTATGATTGGAATTGACTGCTGGACAGTTTAAAAAAAATTTATTGCATGGGGTTTAACATCTTTAAAGAGGAGTAGGATTCCTCTTTGACTGCATCTACATTTTTGTCTTTTTTTTCTAATTTATTTTGAGATCTCCAGTAATTACAAGGCTTTTTACACTCGCAGTTTGTAATGTCAGTTGTTGGGAGTTGTGTTTCAAATGAGCAACATAGGTGAAGAGCTAGTTGAGGTACAGGACATCATCCACGTAGTTAAAAATTTAAAACTAGTAGTTTGGTGAATTCAAGGTTAAATTCTAAAAGACTATAGAATAGAATAGCAATTTATTGTCACATGTATTTTTACAAAAAAAGTACAGTGAAAATTTTTATAAGACCCCATACCGCTATAAGTAGGAGGGGGGTGAGATGCTCTGAGGGAGCATCTGCTAACTTGAGGTTCTTGAAAAGACAATTGGAAATCATACAATATGATTTTTTGACTTTAATAATTTTCTTATGTAATAAAGTATTTGGCCTAATTTTATGATTCAGAACAAACTTAACACCTGATGTTATAACAGTGGCATTGTGATCAGAACTATGTCCTTTCACTGGAGAGTTGTTATTCATGTCCAATTTCATTTTTCCATTCAGTTAGTGACAGGTGACATATAATGAGTGCAATTTTTTTTAAAAATCTATTTTGCTTTGTAGAGAATTAGTAAAAGGGCAATGATATTTTAATTGTTTAGTAGCAGTATTTAAATGGTGAGTGGGCTATCTCTGATTGTAAATGGTCTGTTAGGAATATGAAATTCCCTTTACAACTCCAGGAGCAACGCTCCAAAAGCTAGTGTTTTCAAATAAACCTGTTGGACTGTGTCATGTGATTCTTTGACCTCTTCCAACCCAGTCCAACATCGGCACCTCCACTTCATCACTTGGAAATATACCACCAAAGTGTTTAAAAATTAAGGTGATGATTTTTGTTTAAAGTTCCATTATAAGTTGTCAGGAATTGTTCAATACTGCAGTTGGAAATTGTGGCTGTTTTAAATCTAGAGCATGGCTGCACATAGTATTTGCATCATTCTATCTCCACAAATAAGATATTATTTATAAGATAAGTATTATTAATTATGTATGACACAGCAGCAAAAGCAACCTAATGACCTTGTGAAACATACAACAGAAATCCACTAAAGGAAGTTCTGATCTTTTTATAGGTAATTGGGCATATGGTCTTTTGATGGTAATGATTAAATTTTCAAAATTAGTATCAGAATGTTATATAACCTCAACAAAAATATTTTATTCTGTTTTAAGTAGAAATGCCAGGAGTGTTTGGATGCAGACAAATGACTAACTGTCATTTTGGTGATTATGTGTGAAAATGTAGGATAATTCTTACAAATTTGATCTTTTTGTAATTATGAAAATCCTAATAACTGAATAAAGCATAATGCTTAATCTGCAGCACATTTTCTGATGTGCAATTTTTGAAGAATTTATTTCTTGTCTTTGTATAATAGTACATGGAAGACCTAGAAAATTGCACGAGTTCTCAATTCTGGTTTGCATTGTAGGAATCAGTGTTGGAGGTCCAACTAATGCTCAAAACATTGATTTTAGATCCCAAACAAGATAAGAAACTGGACAGCTATGAGAATAGGAGCAGTAAATTTACATCTGAATAATTGTTCACATGAAGGAGACTTTTGACATAAACCGAGAAATTAACTAAATAGACTGTTTCCACATTTTGTCTGTAACATGAGTGTTTTATACTTTGTTGAGCGTTAAAAACAGTCATTATTTATTAATTGTGAGTTCCAATAGTAATGAATACCAAAGAATGTGCAGATTTGTGGTTAATCTGACTCAATTTAAAGCACATCACTTTCTACCTTGTTCTGTGACTCAGCACCGTGGAGTGTTTCTTTACAGCTTTCTTTGTCTATAAGCCTCTTCCCCTAGAAATCTAAAAAAGGTTTGAACACATGCCCTTTTGAATAGCTAAACCCAATTGCTAAAATACAAAAAGCAAATATTTATGCCAACATTTGATGTATTTCTTTCTAATAAAATGGAAGGGCCTAGTAATCCATATTACATGCACTGATATATTTAAGTAATTATGACAACTTTATTTGTCCACCTGCATGCATAAGGAAAGCTTTATTGAGTTTCCACAAACCATTCAGATTTTTAACTACTTGTGGCTAGGTAAATGGTTGCATTCACATCTATGAGAAAGCACAATGTAATTAAAAGCCATGGCCACTGGATGGTACTGGAGTTTTCTGAAAAAAAAAATCAAATCACATTTGTTTCTTTCTAACTGAAGTTGCTAACCTTCAAAGTAAGGACCTTAACCTAATAAATTAAATAAATATGCATTCCATGACAGCATGGTTAGTTCATCATGCTGTCTTCTATCTTTTCTAATGCCTTAATTGAAGTTTATCTTGACAGGCTCAGACTCTCAAGAAACCCCAGAGAAAATTTAATATTATTTTCAGAATTATGACATTGATGGGTAATTTCTGATTTTGTAGTATGAGGAGTCTGCATGCATAGTGTATAATATTCCAGTTGCATTGTTGCTATTAAGTATCTGAACTGCTGGAATATTTACTTTAGATTCTAGCCGTGCCTGCACAGTGTTTGTCAAAATAATAATGTCCTTTAGGGAAGGAAACTGACATCCTTATCCGGTCTGGCCTACATGTGACTCCAGATCCACAGCATTATGCTTGACCCTTAACAGCCCTCTGGGCAATTAGGGGTGGGCAATGAAAGCTGCCTAGCCAGTGATGCCACCATGCCGTGAATGAATAAAGAAATTAAAGAGGACAAACTTCAAGGAATAATCAACTGAAATTTAGAGTTGATTGTAAAAGAGACACAGTAATAGCTTGGAGTTTACAGTAGAAATAACAGTGAAGATTTCAGGGCTTTCCGTTATTAAAGAATAAAAAGCACTGCAGATTTTGGTGTCTGCATGGATGTAGTTAAATGCAAATCAGGAAGCTGCTATGCATTATGCCCACCTCCTCCAAAGTCTTCATTCTAAATGTATCTCACTCATAGACTTAACACGCAAAAGGGTCTGAATTTGCACTAGATACCCACAAAACACGGCAGAAAATGTTACAGTTGTCAGTTCAAGTGTATGTGAAATTTTAGTGGTGATATGTGTAAATTACCGCTACACAATCCCTCTGTCATTTTGTAACTTGTTGGAAATATAAATTTTTTCAAAATCTCTTTTGTAATGACTGTTTTATCTCTATCTTAATTTCATCTTTCTTTGTCTTTCTCATTAACTTTCTATGCATGACTTAACATTGAATCAAACATTCTAGCACCTTCTGGTTTTAACTCTACATGCCTATAACAATTCAGTCTGACTGGCTGAGGAGGTATGCCATTGCTCTCACACACATCCAAAATCAGAAGCTTGGTGAAGGTACCAGACTGTTTTGACTCCCTAATTATTGCTACCAAATCAGGGCTTATGTGTTTGTAAGACAGAAGAAAATGACACATCAGATGACATTAGAAAATAAAGGACTGTCCCCTAATTTTTACAGAATTCAAAATTTTTCCCACAACTATCAAAGTACAGGACTGCCTTCGAGTGCAACTCCCATCCTCTTCCTGGTACTACAGAATATCTGATTTCTATTCCAATTAATGCAACTTGCTTGAAATTTTGTTTCTTTGTTATTTTTAAAGTGGCAGGGAGACAAATTAAAGATAAAGTCCTCATTTCTACTTTTCACACAAGGCTATGGAATTCAATTCCCGTGCCACCAGTAAAATCACATTTAATTTAAAAAAAAAATACAATTTGGCTTGTTGGTTGCTTGGATTCATGCCATCAATGGCAATAAGACACCATCTTCCCCATTGTAATAAAACACCAAATTGTCTGATTTACTATGAGTGTGGTTAAGTTAATTTAATTAAAGCAACATGTAATATGCATCTCCTGTACATTTACATTTCTCAGTCAAATTTTGCATTGAATCAAATTTTCTATATCATTTTTCGGGTTAAGTATGAAACAAAAAGACATCATTAATTGATCTTTGTTGTTTACTTGCACTCTGAAATTTACTAAATGTGTATTGTAGTATTGATGTATCTATACTCGTACTTAAGGCAAATTTACAAAACTACAGGGAAAAGCATTCTCTTGAGGAAAGTGTGATAATAAATTAGTAGTGTTGCAATGAACTTAACAATGAGCAGAATCATTTGGTTAGATCTAATTTAGACAACCAGTCAGACGTTGGGGATTAAGGCAGGTGCAACGTTGGCATAATTGTTCCACACAGATAATTCTAGTCAAAATGAAACAAATCATTATGCATGTTTACTCAGAAATGCTCTATTTTTAAATATCGGCCTAAAATTTCTAACTGGCTAAGTAAGGAAGTTAATGTAGCATTGCTGAATTGTCACACTTTTTATCTCTCCCCTTGGTTAAAAGTACATAAACCGATGTTAAAGTAAAAATATGTTGAGCCATTGACTTTATTATTGGTGCATTAGCAAACTGGTTTTTAAAAACTCAGTTGTTTTGTGCAGATTCGAGGTAGACCAAACCCTTAAAGTATTTTACCTGTCATTTAACAGGATGGCTCTTGTAATGGTTTGCAACACTATGCTGCTCTAGGACGTGATGTGATTGGTGCAACCTCTGTGAACTTAATGCCCTGTGACGTACCGCAGGATGTTTACAGTGGGGTAGCACAACAGGTAAGTGAACTGAGTTAAATGAACTAGAAACAATCTAAGTGGTAGTAGTTGAAAGTTTTAGCAAAGGTTTGTAGCTCGGGTTGTGGGTGAGGTTGTTGCCTTGCTCGCCGAGCTGGCTTGTTTTCGTTCAGACATTTCGTCACCGTGCTAGGTAACATCATCAATGAGGCCTCCGATGAAGTGATGTTATTCTACTCCGGTTGGAATTTATACTGACCGGTCTGTTATGGTGAGTAGTGTCATTTCCGGTTTTGTCCTGTACGGGTTTACATGTGGGGCCCAATTCTATATGTTTGTTGATTGCCTTACAGGTTGAGAACCATGCCTCCAGGAATTCCCGTGCATATCTGTGTTTGGCTTGGGCTACTATAGTCACGTTGTCCCAATTATTATGTAGTTTCTATAATGCTTGGTTCTCGCACTAACTAGATTTTTGTTTTAATGATGGTCTGAGGGGATCTAGAAAAGATGCACTACGAACAAACTCTTTGAAATTGCTTTCTCCGTCAATAAAGAAGTATAAACAATTATACAGAATTAAGGAAACATTGTACTGAAACCATTAAAATGGCAAGGTATATTTTGTAAGTAATAATTGGAAGTAAATACATTTGAAAACTAAGAAAATAACTGCATTTATCATATTTAATTGCAGTAACTTCACTTTTATAGAGCCATTGTTTGCTTATTGGGCAACACAGTGGCTCTGTGATTAGCACTGCTTCCTCACAGCGCCAGGGACCTGGGTTCAATTCGAGCCTTGGGTGGCTGCCTGTGTGGCGTTTTCATATTCTCCCCATGTCTGTATGGGTTTCCATCGGGTGCTCCAGTTTCCTCCCACAGTCCAAAGATGTGCAGGTTAGGTGGATAGGCCATGCTAAATTGTCTGTAGTGGCCAGGGATGTGCAAGCTAAATGGATGAGCCATGGTAAATGTGGGCTTACGTTTAGGGTAGGGTTAAATTTGTTGTAAGAAATATCACTGTCAAAGACATTATCAGTATAAATCAAGTTAATTCTTTGCACCTTACAGCAGGAGATGTTGGTAACAAATATTGATTTATTTTGACATTTGCTTTTTTGCTGAATGCATAATCTGGGTTCATTATTGCAATTGCCTTGTGTTTTCTTCTCAGGTTGAAGAGTTTAGAAAAAGAGATGCTGAAAAAGGTGTAAAAATTGCTCAAATCTTGGAAGGCTTCATTAATCGGAAGGTTGTGAAACAGACGGTGATGACTGTGGTGTATGGTGTGACACGATTTGGTGGGCGTCTCCAAATTGAAAAAAGATTGAAAGAAGTTGAGGATTTTCCAAAGGTACTAAAAATTGCAGTGGCTTTTGCATTCATAATCCAGCAATTATTCCATATTTTTCTTGACCATTCGGTTTGGACCAATTGACAGAGAATTTCCAGACAACCATTTTGACACTGAAAGAATCTAGTCATTGGCCATTATTATTTTTGTTTTGATGCCCATTTATAAACTTGAATATGCAGCAAATTGGAAGTGTTCCAATTCACACATGAGAGTACTGCATAAACAAGATATTTCTCTTGCATTACTTTGTCACTGTGATTTCAAGAAGCTGCTAAGATTTAGCACAGTTGTAAGTTGAAAAAAAATACTGCAAATTCTGATACTTTAACTGAAAATCCAGGTAATGCTAACCAAATTAATAAACATCTAAAAGTGAAAGTTAAAATTCCCAAACTTGTCAAAAAAGCTTGTGTAGAACGAAAAGTTATTCAGCAAAAATATCCAGTTTTGGACATGCTAACAGTTTTTCCCTTTTGAGTAAGTATTTTGCTTCAGTTTCAAAGTCAAACTTTTATAGAGCGATTGTTTGCTTATTGGGCAGCATAGTGGTTCAGTGATTAGCACTGCTTCCTCACAGTGCCAGGGACCTGGGTTCGATTCTAGCCTTGGGTGTCTGTCTGTGGAATTTGCACATTCTGCCCATGTCTGTGTGGGTTTCCACCGGGTGCTCCAGCTTCCTCCTACAGTCCAAAGACATGCAGGCTAGGTGGTTTGGCCATGCTAAATTGTCTGTAGTGGCCAGGGATACGCAAGCTAAATGGATGAGCCATGGTAAATGCGGGCTTACATTTAGGGTAGGGTGCTGGGTCTGGGTCTGGGTGGGATGCTGTTAGGAGGGTTGATGCTAACTCGATGGACCAAATGGCCTCTTTTTACACTGTGAGAATTCTGTGATTCTATTCTATGATTCAAATGGCTGAGAAAATAGTCAGGTGCTTTGAACTAGTAACTGCAACAAGACGCAATAAACATATACAGATTAACGGCAAATTCCAAACAGTAAAAGTAACAATTTAGCAAAATTTTACAGCTAACGTTTTTAATTAATTGACTGCAATGAGCATAAAGCTTATAATTTTCAATTGCAAATTGTTTTGAATTATTCTAAAATTTACCAAATGTTTTGAACTTAACAAAAGATAATGATCTGAAAAAATTTGAGCCTCAGCAGCTCTACATGTGCTTTATTTTAGTGAAATCGATATTTTTCATGTGGTCAATGCAGGAATATTTGTTTGTTATTTTTTCTAGTCAAGTAGCAGTGTTTCTTCTCATCTGCATGGCTGCAAAGTCGCTCCAAGGGTCTGCGCACATCTTTTGGCGTGCCAGTGCCATTCCCAGCTGTTGACTTTTGAAAGTCAATGCTGGTACGGATCTTAGAGATCCGCACAAAACAAAACAAAATTAGGAAATGCATTTAATTGCCTTATTCACTATAACTTGGTTGAGTTTGGTCAGCAGTAGAGTTGAGCAGCCTAACTAAAATTACTTGAATAAAATTACTTTGCCAATTTGCAACATACCAAACATCTTGTCATAACATATCATCATCAACCTCAAGATAATAGGCTTGAAAGCAGTGCTTACATTTCTCCAGACACTTTAATCTAAATTAACTATGAACTTAGCTATACAAGTAAAAGTGTACTAAATTACATTGCTCAAGGACGTTTTCATACTTGGTTTGTAAAGGCCGTGGGAGTAGTGCAACCATTTTTTTTGTAGAACGCTTTTCTACTGCATAAAAGGGTAGTGTTCTTTATTTTGCACCAAAGTTTCAGGTGTAACACAGGTTTAAAACAAAAGAAAACTTAAACAAAGGCAAAGAGGCTTCACGTTTCCAAAAATGCCTTTGATGACATTGGAACACCATGTGGAGATGCCGGTGTTGGACTTGAGAGGACAAGTTCAGAAATCACACGACACCAGGTTATAGTGCAACAGGTTTATTTGAAAACATAAGGTTTTGAAGCAAAGTTTGTGTTTTCAAATAAACCTGTTGGACTATAACCTGGTGTCATGTGATTTCTGACATTAGAACAGGCAAAGCACCTTAACACCAAAGAAGTACTGTTCAATTGTAGTTATTTCGGTAAGTGTTTCTTGAAACTTGATCCACCTTTGACCCAGAAGCAGTGCAGTAAGGAATATTTGTAGTTCTTGGTGGAAATCTCTGAAATCTCATAAATTTAAAAGGCCTTTTGAAAATTTGCATCAATTGTGAAAGAACCATTTCTACCGCTGTTAGTTAATGAGGAATACTGGTACAGATGACACTTCACAATTGAAGCAGTATTGCAGAAGGTAAGTTATGATTGGAGTCCGTGTGGCCAGACACACTGGAGAACTACATGGAGAGGATCTGATAGATGAGATACAGATGAAGCCACAAAGGTGGAGCAGATGGATACAGAGCACACACGAAATTCTTGAGAAAAAGGAAGCAAATCTCTCTCTGGAACAAGTCATTTCTTTATTTTTGGCATAAAAGGAAGTTGGGGCTATCTGAGGAACTGTCCAAGCGAAGAAGGCCTAAAATCTGAGAAGTTTGGAGAAATCAATAAGGTAGATGTTTTCTTAAGTGGCTAAACCATGAAACCATGTCAACTGGTAAAGAAACTCTGGAAAGCCTTTCCATGTAGACTATCCCGACCTGAGGGGGAAAGGATTAATAAACTTGTGCTTTGCTGATAACTATACTGTGAAATGTAAGGGAGAAAGTTGTTTTCAAATAGGACTCCGACCTACCATGCATAAACAAAGAATGGCATGTTGTGGAACTGGACACCTACATAATGTCATTCATGCTGAAGAAGATTCATGTAAAATATATCTTTGTCATATTTTGGATTGAAAAAGAGTTGATTTCTAGATGGTATGGAGTTAAATACAGTTGATGTCCAAAGAGACTTGGAGGTTCAGGTGCATAGATCTTTAAAATGCTTAGAACAGGTGCAGAAAATAATCAAGAAAGCAAATGGAATTCTAGCCCTTATATCTAGTGGACTGGAATATAATGATGCAGTTGTTTTGCTGCAGCTTTACAAAACCCTGGTGAGACCCCACTTAGGGCACTGTGATCATTTCTGGGCACCACACCTTGGGAAGGATATATTGGCTTTGGAGGGAGTACAATGTATTTTTACAAGAATGATGACTTAACCCCTGAAATCCCGGTATGAAGAAAGATAATACAAATTATGCCCGTGTTCTCTAGAATTTAGAAGATTGAGGTGATCTGATCGAAGTCTTCAAGATATTAACAGGAAAAGCTGGGTAGATAATAAACTATTTCCATCGGTTGGGGATTCTAGAATTAGGGGGCATAGTTTCAAAATTGATGGCATTTCTAGCAACAAATCTCCTAACATCTCTGGGGGTTACCATTGACCAGGAGCTGAAGTGAACCAATCAAATGAGCACTGTGCCTGCAAGAACAGCTCAAAGGCTGAGAATTCTGAGGTGAGTAACTCTCCTAATTCTCTAAAGGCACAACTCAGGAGTATGATGTAATATTCTTCTCTTGACTGGATGACTCCAGCTCCAACAATGCTCAAGAGATTTTCCACCATTCAGGTCAAAGCATTCCACTTGATTGGCACCTTATTCTCAACACCACTCCCTCCACCGTAGTTGTGACACAGCAACTCATCAAGGCTATTATGATGTAGCTTCCAGACTTATCTGTACCAACTAGAAGGAAAAAAGCATTAATGGCATGGAAATGCCATCACCTGTAAAAATCCTCTCCAAGCCATACCGTCTAAAACAGTATTGTCATCTCTTCACTCTCTTGTGGGATCCAATCCTGTTCACCTGATGTTCAAAATGCATTTTCCAGCATGAAATTGCTTGAAAACGGATTTCTGCTTTCAACGTGGAAGTATTTAAACCAGCAATAAGAGTTGTAGCAGTCTCCTGACTGAAATCGATGAGTAGAGCCATCGACATGGTCTGAACAGAGGATAATTAAGTAAACAGTAGGAATTTAAGAGCTGCAGAATAGGATGAAAATAAATAACAGAACTAGAAAAGAATACATGTCTACGCACACTTAAGCTACTTATTTTGATATCCTACAGAGCCACCATATGTTTGTTTTTAATTTTCACTTTCCCAGTATTTTGCAGTAGCCATGATTCAATATGCTATGCAGCTGAAGGTTGACCAGCTTTCAACACCCCTTGAATGTTTTTCAGCATACCGTTTTTCTTTGCAAGGTCATCTAGAGGAAATTGATGTATCTGCCCCTCATTTACTTTAACCCACATGAAGCAATGTAATAAAACATAAACTAAAACAGGAAAAAACAGTAAATATTGATAAATTTAAATGGTAATACCTGCCCTAATTGCTTACATGGAAATCCATTTTGCATTGAAAAGAGGCAAAATTATTTTGTTGCAGAACACAGATGCTTTGATTCTGTTATTAACCTTGGATGTACCAAGACAGGTAAAAATATAGCATTTTATGTTTGCCTATAACAGCTACAATGAATAAAGCATAATTAGGTTTTATTGACTCTTACATTTTTCAAAACAAGGCAAGTTTCTGGTGATTTGTTACAGCAACTTCATCATATAAGGGCTGAAGTAAAAATGACCAAGTCTTGCAGCTATACATTCCATGTGGACTGAGGTGGTATAGACGTGCAAGAACATATGTAACAGAAAATTACAGGTTATCTTTTTTGCACTGATCTTAGTGGAAGTAGAAAATTAAATATAACTGGCTAATTTTATTTAATTTCCAGGACCATGTGTGGGATGCTTCTCATTACTTGGTGCAGCAGGTCTTCAGCAGCTTGACAGAAATGTTTACTGGAACCAGGGAAATTCAGGTAATTTCACTATCTGCAGTGATACTACTGAAGAATAGATGCCTGAATGGTCCAAGCTTAAGAAGCTGTTTGATTTTTTTTTATTGCAATACATAGAAACAATACAGAATTTTTTAAAATCCAAACATCCAAAACATGTACCTAATAATCTGAATTATTTGCTGTAAGGATTTTTCCGCATGTATACTTCATAAGATTATAGCGACAGCAGGCAAATGTATCCCCCTCTGCCAGCTGCAGTACTAAATGTGAACAATGTTGGAGATAATCTTTATTTTCAATAACAGATTCAAAAAATTAATGGAAGTCATGGGTCTGAGAATTGATGGTGTATGTTTTGCAACAACATTTAAGCCATTGCTGTATATGCAGTCCTGCATCTAGAGAAACACACAAGTTCCTGGAACTGTGATTGATCCCTATCCAGACCTGTTTCACGGTGCTGTTGCTTGAAAATAGCTAATGTTGGGCGGCAGCCCCTCTTTCTTTAGTGCTGTTTTAAAATGAACCTGTATTGTCTAATTCTTGCTTTGGCTGTTTTATAACTTATGGATCAGCGTCCTGATTACAGATGCATAATCATATCCAGTTCAAAATTCTTTTACATTTTCACTTCACCCTTTGCTTCCTTTGTTTGCTTTTCCTAAACTGTAGTCTTTTTTTTCCCCTCAAGTGTCTTGGTGATCAAAGATAAGGTTTGCCAATCAATCAATTTTTATTTACTCGTGGCTTTATCAAAATTGTAATGTAAGCTATCCTGAATTAATATCACGTTAAAAAAAAATCACAAATACTTCAACATTCAAGGTACTAATGGCATTATTAACCCAGATATGTCTGTCTATCTATGATTGAGGTAAGACCATGTATATGTGTAAATTACAGGGGCATGAAGGCCACTTACTTCATTGTCTCACAGGCACAGGTTCCCAAGAAAATTTTAGGTAAATCCTTTTGGTTTGCATGGCCAGTTTCTTAATGAGTCATTTCAGGTTAGTGTTGACTCTTCCATTTTCTTCCACAGATATTGCCTGATGGCTAATATTTCTAACATTTTCTGCATTTATTGTTTTAGTTGTGTTCCATTTAAGAAAATCTTTAAATGATTGCAGGGTCCCTTTTTGGTCCACTAATTTATACCTGAAACATGCCCAATTCCACATATACTGGATGTACCATTATCTAATTCTTCAACAAATTGAAATAAAGTAAGCAGGTTCCTCACCAAGACATGCTGCTGTTTCTGTCAGATAAGCTGCAATTGCCATTCAATTTGATAGCCTGGTGTTCACCTTCTGCTAATTTTAGTCTCTTTCAAGCTATATAAAGCACTGGCTGCTAATTCTGAGACCAGACTGGCTCAACTCCACACTAAACAGTACACATTTCACCTGACCCATTTGGAATAAAAGCATTTTAACTATTTTGTAGTGTGACATAAAATTGATCTCCAGTTATTTTTAAGTTTACAGTTGTAGGCTTGTGGAGGTATGGATTGGCATGTAATCAACACATCACTTGTGATGAAAATGTTGCAAAATTCTGTTAGCTGGTTCAAGATTACTCGCATTAAAATCAGGGTGAATATGAAACTAGGAAATGCTGAATTTTCAGACCAAAGTTACAGTTTTAATGTAAACCTTTCCATTCTGCTTACATTTCTCAGTTTTAGTGTAAAACTCTAAAAGCGAAGTTTCCCTATTTGAATAGAAATCCAGTTTTTCTTTTTCTATGTATACTTTAAATGTCCCTTACAATTTTTGCTTAGAAAAATAGTTAATTTTCGCAAACTCAAAGCTGCGGTTAAAATCATAACTACTTTAACAACTTAATTTCAGACTCTACATGCAGTATCTAGAAAAGTGTAATTGCTTACAATTCTTGCGCATTAAATCCAGTATGCTACTTTCCATTCTTTGTGAAAACTGTCATTTATGTATCAGGAATCCATACAGATAACCTTTTGCATCACAAAATCACTTTTGCAATATATTTTGTATTTAAGAAAATTATGATTTATGAATTGTTGTAAATGGTTTTTACAGCTTTAGGATACACATAGTGAAGATTTCAGTTCTAATGTAGTCTTGAGCTTTACATATGGTTTCAAAGTCACAGTATCTCTGAGGGTCAGTGTGGACTTGTTGGGCTGAAGAGCCTGTTTCCACACTGTAGGGATTCTATGACTCTATGATAATGAGCAAAAATGGCATATTGAACCTCAAGGATAAATATCTGACATTATCGCAAATGTTTTTAATTTATTTCCATCACAAATAATCTTTAATTGGTCAACTAAGTTTTTGTTTTAAAGTCATTAATAATCATGCGCTACAAGTGAATTGTTGTTTTAATCATGTCATTTGACTCATTTTTTTATCTTAAGGACTGGCTGACACAAAGTGCGCGATTGATTTCAAAATCAGGAAGTTCAGTGGAGTGGGTGACGCCACTTGGGCTACCAATTGTACAGCCATACCACAGGACCAGGACTACATTAGTAAGTACTGAGCAAACACATAACTACTGTTTGGTAAGTTACTTGTATGTCTGACAAACTGATCTGCCACTCAGTTGAATCATAGCTGCTGTGTATCTCAACTGCATTCACCTATGTTGGTTCTGTATTCCTTAGTTAACAAAAATCTGTTCCAGTTTTGAATTTTCAATTGGCCCAGCCTTGATGGCTTTGTTTGGGAAAGATAGCATTACAGATTTCCCTTTCTCTTTCTATGAAGAAATATTTCATGATATCACCCTGAATTTCAGGTATTGACTTAACTTCAAGATTGTGTTTTATTTTTCTGAACTCCCAAAATCTGTGGAAATAGCCTCTCTCTCTCTCTATCTAACCAGTCAAAGTCTTTTAATTTTAAACAGGTCAATTTGATCATCCCTTGATCTTTTAAATCCAGTGGAATAAAGAATTATTCTATCAAACTTCCTTGTTTAATCCTTGGATAGAGTTATTGATGTGAAACAAGTTCCAGTATTATTGAATGGAGTTTTCATCTTTCAACCATGTTTAGTGGGATCCCATTAAGGCCATTTTGCCCTTTCTTTTAGGGAAGGAAACCTACTGTCCTTATCAGTTCTAGCCTACATTTGATCATGGAAATGTGATTGACTGTTAACTATCCTCTGAAATAGGATCAAGGAGCAGAACTAAGCCATTCTGCTTAGGTTGCTCCATAGTGCATAAGATTATGACTGATCTAATTGTAACCTCCACATTCCCATCTATCCCTGATAACCTTTCACCACCTCGACTGACTTAAGAATCTATCTACCTCTGCCTTAAAAGGTTGTGAGTTTCTGCTTCTGCCATCTTTCAGAAAATGATATATTCGGTCACTTGTATCAAGGGAAATTAGGGATGAGCGACAAATGCTGGCTTTGCCATTGACACTCATTTCCCCTTAAGTTCCAAGTCAGGTTAGGAGTGCTGTATTTTTCCACAAATGTAGCTGAGGTGTTTTTTTTTAATAAAGAATGACAATTGTGTAAATCTGAAAAATTGACTGACTGGCCAGTAGCTCTCATTTTTCAAATTGGTCTGCTGTTCTCCAATCCTCAAAATATTCTGTTCTTACTATACAGTCACAGATTAAGGTTTTTTGATGCTTTAAAATTTTCCAAAGCTTTTGTCCATTTTCAAATCACAGTGGACAGCCCTATTATTGCTACTTTAATACCAATATAAGAAATAAGAGCAAGAGTAGACCATTTTGCCTTTCAAGCCTGCTGCAGTAATATCATTGTTGATCTTCTGCCTCAATGTCCCCTTTCCTGCATTAACCCCATATCCTCTCAATATTCTTTCAATACAGAAAAATGACCAATGGCTTCCTTAAGTATACACACCAATAAGCATCCATGGCTCACTGAGGTAGAAAACCCTTTGCGAAAGAAAGTTCACCTCATCTCACTCCTAAATGGTCGACCCCTTATTCTGAGATTGTAATCCCACGTGTTAGATCTCCCAGACAAGGGAAGTGTTTTCTCAGCAGGTATTCTGTAAAGCTGCTTTAGAATCTTTTATGCTTCAATTTGATCATCTCATTCTTTTAATCTTCAGGAAACGTAGACCTAGTCTATTTGATTTGATTTGATTTATTGTAGTCACATGAACCTAAGTACAGTGAAAAGCTTTGTCTTGTGAGCAGTACAGGCAGATCATAGCAAACAAGGACATACAGATCATAGGGTGTTTAGACCGAGCAAGGCATACAAGGTTACGCCTGCACAGTAGGTGCACAGAACCAGATCAACATTATTTGAAGTTAGAGAATCCATTCAGTAGTCAAATAACAGTAAGGAAGCTGTTCTTGAACCTGTTGGTGTGTGTGTTCAAGCTTCTGTATCTTCTGCCTGATGGAAGAGGTTGGAAGAGAGCAATACTGGAGTGGGAGCGGTCTTTGATGGCAGCCTTTCCACAATGAGAAGTGTAAATGGAATCCATAAATGGGAGGTTGGTGTCTGTGATGGTCTGGGCTGTGCACGCAACTTTCTGTAGCTTCTTATGGTCCTGGGCAGAGCAGTTGCCGTACCAGCCCATTATGCACCCAGCTAGAATGCTTTATATGGTGCATCTGTAAAAGTTGGTGAGGGTCCTTATGGACATGCCAAATTTCCTAAGCCATCTGCGGAAGAAGAGGCGACATTGTGCCTTCTTGACTGTCACATCTACGTGGGAGGTCCAATGGTCCCGAACACGTTATTGGTTATTGTTACTCCCAGAAACTTGATGCTTTCGATCATCACCACCTCAGTTCTGTTGATGATGATAGGGGCGTGTCCTCCTCGTTTCTTCCTGATGTCAATGACCAGTTCTTTTGTTTTGCCGACGTTGAGAGAGAATTTGTTATAATTGCGCTATGACACCAAGCACTCTATCTCCTTCCTGTATTCTGACTCATCGTTGTTTGATATCCGTCCTACCATGGTGGTATCGTCAGCAAACTTGTAGATGGCATTCGTGCAGAATTTGGCTACACGGTTGTGGATGTACAGGGAGTACAGTAGGGGACTGAGAGTACATCCTTGTGATGCGCCAGTGTTGAGGATTATCGTGGAGGAGGTGCTGTTATCTGTCTTCACTGAGTCTACTTAGTTTGTCCTCAAAATATAGTCCCCATACCCTTCTATGTTTCATGATCTTATCAATCAAGATCTGACAAAAATCTAGAAATAAACTTGTTTTCAGACTGAACAACTCATATCTATTTATTGAAAATATTAAATATGATTATAATTTGATTGGTATTAGACTCAAATAGTTGGTAATCTCTGACGTACTTTGTTTCAAGTGAGCTTGCTTCTGAACCTATTAGGTTTAGATTCTTCTTTCTGGTGATGTTTCTTGAGCAACGTTGTTATTCTGTAAATTGCAGTTAATGAAAAGAACATTTCTTTCACACATTGCTTGTCTTCAGTGGTGTCTGTATAATCTAATGATTACAACATAATCATTGATAGTTTAATTTGAGAAGTGCAGAAGGTCTCAGTTAGACATGATTTTAATATTTGTAAAATGCTCCATTTATAGACTGATAGTTCTGCTGAGATACACTGGAAAAATATCAACAATTCTCAAGAGTTGCTCACAATTGTCTGGAATCATCAGGTCTGAAAACCTGATCATTTTGTTTAGTTAGAAATTTGCAAACATTAATTGTGGACTGAAATATAATAACTGTAATCCTTTTCCTCTGTGTAGCGTGCATATTAGAGGGAGGGTGAAAAAAACAAAATTTAAACCAGTAGGCTTTAATTCCACTACAACACTGTACAAAAATGAATCTATATTTTACTGAGCATTCGATTGTATTTACAATTTGCAGCATAAAATGTGTGGATTGACACTTGAGACTTGTAATCTTTGTAATACTCTTGTGCTGCCACTGGAAGAGTGGAAACTTATTTAGTTACTTTACCCATGTCATCTTAGTAATTTGGAAAATCACACATTAAAAATTAATCTAATGGGATCACAAGAAATTAAACTTGCTGAAGCATAAGCCGTAACTTTTTATCCTGGATGTATCTTGCACTAGGAGGCAAGAAACAGGCTTGAAAAATGGGAGACTACAGCCTGAAAAATACTTGTTGTTTGGTAGGACCTTCATTAGAAGCCACACGCACGGTTAACTGGCAGTCTTGTGGGCTGTTGTGGTGCAGTGGTAGTGTTGATACCTCTGAGCCAGGAGGCCTGGGTTCAGGTCACACCTACTGTAAAGATGTGTAATAACGTCTCTGAACAGGTTGATTAGAAAAAATCTTAACTGTCAATATTGGTTCTCAGACCAAGCATGTTGACTGTTTGGTCAGAGTGTTCAGCAGAAGTTAGCAGATTCCATGAGCCTTTTTCTCCTCAGTGACAAAAGTGCAATCTTTATTTATATGTATTCCTTTCACCAACATGAAAAAGGGTCCTCTGTGTTCACGTATGTAGCTTCCAGCATACACAAATCCACTGCATGTTCAACTTTTCACTTAAATCGGTTTCCAGTGCATTTCTTGGCACAGCCCATGTTAGTTAATATGATGTCCAATAGTAGGATCGCATCTAATGGTGGACACACTGTTCAGAGGCATGCTCTTGTTGAGCATGATTGGCATGCTGCTCGCTGTGAATGATCGATGGGATGTATTATTTTATACGGTCTGCAGGTTGTTTTTTTGAAAGTGCAAGACAGAATAATCATCAGTGGGTGGGGTCAGGCTTACAGATACCCAGAGGACTTTGTTTTTGCTTTCAGTTTTTTTTTGCTAGTTGCTACAGCAGACAGCTAGAGTTCTTCTGCTGTTAGGCTGAAGACTTAGACAGCTTTCCTGTTAGAAATCAGAAGGGGCAGATTGTTTCTGTGTTTCTTTCCACTAGACTGGAGAGAGACAGTATGTGAGAATAATAGCTGTTTTGCTGCATGTATTTTGCCAAAGGGTGTGTTTATGAGATGCTGCCTATATTAGAACAGTTGATTAGTGCTTAAATAAGACATTGTCTTGTTAAGTATGTCAATAGAGTAAAGTTGTACCAATTCTTCACTTTGCATTTTAATTGCAATGTAATAATAAAGTGTGCTTTGATTAAGAGTTTAGTGGTGGATTAATCGAATCATATCTGGAAAACAGTGCCTTACACTTAACTTGCCTTTAAAATTAAAGTTTGGGTCTAGGCTATCTCCATAACATATTTTGGGGGAGGCTGATCTGGTGTCTGACACGTGGTGAGGAGATGGCTAGGGTTTAAGTAGCCAATAACATTCACCTTAGTGAGTAGAACTGAAGGAATCCCAGCAGGTATATAGACTATTGAATGTAGACTTTCAATAAATAGTAGTACAGAGCCTTTGGCAGATTTTCCAATTAATACCTCAAGGAAACCTGCATCAATAGACTTTATCAGATTTAAACGACCCGTTAATCTTTACTCTCCAGGAATATTATGTAAATTTGAATTTTTTAAATTCATTCAAGGGATGAGGGTGTTGCTAGCTA